CATTGTCATGGCTCAACTAGGATATCCACCACCATATACATATTGTCTAGTCCAAGATCAATATAATATGTGGCCCCGATAATATCGGGCGGTCCCCACTCCCGATGTGGGCCCCACGTGCATTTTACTATTCACGCGAAAAAAAATTAATACAAATTCACAACTTCGCAAATTCACTAAATATTTTCATAGGATCCAATAAATTATTAGCTTAAAGATAAATACATTTGGGGACGGTGTTACATCCTTTTGGTGGGAGCTAGATTTGTCATAAAGTTCGTCCACAAAGCTAAGGAGAGATGAGCATCCCTAATTTAAAGCCTTCCATGCTACATGCAAAAGTCACATACAAAGTCTTTCGTTTCTACGGAAAGTGACATCTCATAACAGTACACCACAAACTTCAATTTCAACTATGAGCTAAGGGACACTCTTTTCTGCACGTACCTCCAACCCATCCTATCCTATGTTTAAATATTTGACAATAATGATTGCTTGGATGAAAACAATTGCATGTTAACGACAGAGAGCCAAAATTAAATGCATTTTTTGTTGGATTATGGGAAAATGTAAATAAAGCTTATATATTTTGAAATGATTTTGTGATAGGGAGTCATATGTTCTTTTGTCTCTTTTTTTATTGGAATAATGAAGTGCAACATGATACTTGTATGTTGTGAAGGAAACGTGTAAGGATCGTATTCCGTCTTTTCCGGCTCAGGTCTCTAACCACTCTAGCTCACATACACCACACTAGAGATGACGTCTACACCACCAAGCTTCTTCTCTGCCACTAAGTAACCTCTCTCTCACACTCTCACATAAAGAAAAGGAAGAAGTAGAGCACTGCTCTCTAGGAAGGTATCTATCGCAGGCTTCACTCACAGGAAGAAGCTAAGGCCTCTAAATAATAGGCAACGGCCAGAAGGAAGTCACGGGTGAGTGCAAAGACAAAAGGCTCACGGGCAGCATAGACAAAGAATGCAGCGGACAACAACTGAGGGGGGCAGCCAGTGGGTAAGTCAACACCAAGAGGATAGTCAAAAATAGGTATATCAAAGTGGGAGTAAACATGGGATGTAAGTCAATAATAAGATGGAAGGGAGGCCTTGGTAGGACCAATACCTCCAACATTCTCCACCTTATTGGTCCTAGGTGGTGTAGAGTAACAATACAAGGTTGTGAGGAGACTCATCATTGCCGGATCATTACAAGTACATCATGCAGATAATACAAGTAATAGATGAGAACCACAAAGTTCCCTTTCGGACCAAGCTTACCATGCAAACCCAATTCATAATGGACTGAACTCTACCAATCGGTCCTCGAGTTCAGGATCGAAACCATCACGAAACTATTAACAAACACAACGCATGTCAATAGACCACGCAAGCAAGCAACCAGGAGAAGTTGGGGATTCCAACTAATCCAATAACCACACAAAGCAAGTACACAGAAAATAAAAGAAACAATATTATTTCTATAACTAGCAAAGGTAGAGCTCACATATTCACATGGTATCACATTTTCAAAACACAAAGAAAATAGCATACCAAACATCACAAAGAATTTAATTAAAAGAGAATTAAGCACATTTAAAGCAAACTCAGAGGAAATATAGTCAAACACTTTGCACATATCATTTCTCTCATGCTCCCTAATGTCTCTATCTCTAATAACATGACAATCACACAACTCAAGCATATTGCTCACAACATTCATATCATGCTCCACCTTAATAGAAATATTATTTTCTTTATTTTCACCATGAAAAACATTTTCATTCACAAATTTGGGTTTGGTTTCAACAAGTAAACCAGACTGAACTTCAACAGGCAAATGCTCCACCTCATTTGGAGCAACATCAAGAGAAACAAGTAAGCAAGGAAATTCATTTTCAACAAAAATGACATTTCTACTTAGCAACACATTAAAGCATATTTCACTCCTAAACCAAAGCCTATAACCTTTCATGCATTCATTATATCCTAAGAAAACATATTCCTTAGTCCTAGGTTTAGATTTATCATTCTCATGATTCACATAAGCAGCACAACCAATCACTCTCAAATTTGGCAAGTTAAGTGGTTCGCCCGTGAACACAGATTCAGGGCATTTCCCGGAAACAAACGGGGACATATTAATCAAATAAGCAGCATAATAAATAGCTTCCCCCCAAAACTTATTAGAGAGCCCAGATGAAGCTAACATAGCCCTCACCCTCTCTAATAAAGTTCTAACCATCTTCTCAGCAACCCCATCCGATTGGGGTGTGGAGGGAATAGATTTATGCATAGACATACCCCAAGTATCACATAAATCACCAAGCTGATCATCACAAAAATCAAAAGTGACAGTGGTCCTTCAAAAATTTATTTTCTTACCGGTTTGTTTTTCAACAAGGGTTTTCCAGTTTTTAAACTTATCAAAAACTTCATATTTATTCTCAATCAACAAAACCCACACTTTCTTTGAACAATCATCGATCAACGTTAGAAAATAATTTTTCCCACCATGAGTGGAAACACTATAAGGACCCCACAAATCAGCATGAATACAATCAAGCACATTAGTACACTTAGGCAAATCAGGAAAACCAACTCTAGACTGTTTTCCTAGCACACAGGGTTGCACACAATTCACAAAATCAAGTACGGGTTCAACATGACAAACATACAAGTTGTTTTTCATCACAACTTTGAAAACAACTAAACAACCCTTCACAACTTTCATGATTCCCTTTCCCCATTTTCCCTTCAAACCATCATTTTCAAGAGATGCACAAGATAGCAAATTACATCACAACTCAGGAACATGCCTAACATTCTTCAAAGTAAGCACACAACCAGAAGAGAACCTAAGACAGACATCTCCTATTCCTAGCACATTGCATTTCTTCTCATTTGCTAAAGACACAAAGCCATGCTGAATATGCTTATTTTCCCTAGATTTAGGACAATCTTTTATGAAATGACCAGATTCATGACAATAATAGCAACATCTCGAATTAGACCTAGACTTAGATCTGATGGATAGTGTACCCGGGGGTAGCTTATCCGAGGGGTTACTACGGGGAATGACTAGAGAGAAGTCAGAGCGAATAAGTAAGAGAGAGAGTGTATATTTAGAAAGTATGCAGCGTTTATCACTTGGTTATAAATGGGGAAAAGGTGAGCTATTTATAGTAGCAATAAATGCCGGACAGGGACACGTGTCAAGCGTCCATTGGCCGAGAGGTCACCTCATCTGGTTGGCACTGGCAACCGCATGTGGCCGCATTTAATGCGGCTGTTGGATGGGACGTTGTACAGGGCACGGCGATCTGTACGCATGTGGCGCGGATATCATGTCGGGGAAGGATGCCCTCGGCTGTAAAGGACTAGCCGAGGGCTCTGAGTACGGGGGACCCCCTTGGTGCCGAGGGCTCCAGGTGCTGAGGGCTACTGTTTTTTACCGTTTTCCCCAGTAACTTTGTTTTGCTGCCTTGGCCCTCCTGTGAGAGTTAGAGCCTTCGGCCAGGGGGCCGAAGGCACCGCTGGTGCGCATTGTGGGCTGCTTGGTACTCTGGGCGCCGTGATTTGGGCCTGTTGGGCCTTTATTGGAGTAGTAGGAGTCTGTGGGCCGGGGGTTCCCGAGCCATATACTCCATCAGGAGTCCCGCACTCCTTTTGCCGAAAGGTACTTGAGGGAAAAGGAGTAATTGTGCTTGTCCTCTACCGTTGTTTCGTTTGTAGTTTGTAGAGTTGTGGGTAGTTTGCTGTTTGTTTATTCTGCCGAGGGCAGTCCCTCAGTTATCCACATGTCGGGACTTGAGGGGTCATGTTTGTGATGTTTGTGATTTTTGTGATTTTTCCCGAGGGGGTCCTCTAGTCCCCCACTCCTTGAGACACTTGCAAAGTGGTGAAAAGGAGTAGAGTAGTTGCGCTGCTGTTGTGGGCCGAAGGCTGACGCTTTTCGTTTCATTTTGGGGGGATGCCTCGTTAAAAACCTCATTAGGAAAAACCCTGTGGGAAAAAATCCTAATGAGGGAAAAAGAGTGCACCGAATTCCCCCAACGATGAATCGAAAATGTGAAACCTTGGTCAAAAATGGAGAATAACGGTAATGCCGAAGGCTCTCCTTGTTCTGAGGGCTCAGGTGTTGAGTAGCCGGAGGCTTGTTGTTGATGTCCTGGGAGGTGCCGAAGGGGAGTCCCTCTATCTGGGTATCGAGGGCGTGATGGATGAGGGCAGTAGTTGAATTGTTACCGGGGTGTCCCGTGCTTGTTGATTAGTTGGTGATGAGGATATCCGAGGGCTCCCATTACCTGTGTGCCGTAGGCTATCCGTCAATGAGGCATACTCCCCGGGGGCTACCCGGCCCTTACAGTGCTGAGGGGGGATCCCCGAGGGGTGGCCTGATATGAAGCCTTGGGCTTCTGAAGGAGTGATCCCGAAGGCGTCTGTTATGTACTGTGTGGGACACAACCCGGGGGCGTCTCTGGGTAAGTGTACCCGGAGGCTTTCCCTGATGAAGTGGAGTGAAGTAAGAAACCCGGGGGCTCCCAGAATATAGTCGTTGGAAATATAGCCGTTGGAATATGTAACGTCCGGATATAGCCGTTGGAGGGGGGTTGCCACGTGGTGCGTGCTCGTTGGCTGCCCGTGGGCGGGCGTCACCGATTGGGTGGAAACTCGGTTGGTAATGATGGCAGTCCAACCGGAGGCCCGGTTCCCAGGCCCAAGCCCGGATTCCAGCGCCTATAAATACCTAGGGCTGGCATTTTGAACCGAAAAACCGAAAACCGAACCGAAAATAACCGAACCGCTTTAGAAAAAAACCGAACCGGACCGAACCGAACGAAATTGGGTCCTAATAATTGGGACCCGAAAAAAAATCGGTTCGGTTTCGGTTTATGTGCACAAAATATCGGTTCGGACCGAACCGAACCGACATTTATATATTAATAATAATAATTGTTATTTATAATTACAATAATAATTAATGACGTTTAATAAAGGTATAATACTAAACCGAGCATGATTTGGACGTACTTGAAGAGTAGCTGACTTGGTTAGCTAGCGTCTGTTGTTATCCTTTGGTCACGAGTTCAATTCCTGCAGTTGTATTTTTTTGTTTTTTCAGCTTTTTTTCCTATTCTCTTTAATCTTGTCCCACACCGGAAAATGAGAAGGTTCCTACTCCAAAACTTCAATATAAACAAGGTCCTCTTAGTGTAGAATGCCAAGATATGTTCTTGGAAGCTAAGTTACGTTCTGGGCTTTCATTGGGCTAATTGGGCTCAAATATTGGCAAGTTCCAATGGGCTTTAATCAATTGAATATCAGTTCAATTTTTTTTATTACAAATTAATCGGTTTTTTTCGGTTTCCGTTAAACCGAACCGACAAAATCGGGTACCAAAAATCGGTACCCGTTTGTATATCGGTTCGGTTCCGGTTCTGATATTCAATTGATTACCAAATCGGTTCGGAACCTGAACCGAAACCAGCCCTATAAATACCCCAAGGCCAGGGTCATTCTCCTCGTGCGAAATCCTTATAGCGAAGCTCTGCCAAATTTTCTAGAGAGAGAAACAGCAGTCATCGATCAGATTCTAAGGTCAGTTCCCCACTCGCACTTCACTTCCTTAGTTAGCTGTTTTTGTGGCCTTAGATTAGGGGCGTAGCTTAGAGCACTTAGCATCTCCGAACCGTCGACGTAGTATAACAATGTCCTCACAAAGCGATTCTCAAGACATCTCGGGGGCGCCCTCGATGGAGGATGAGGTCATCTCGGATGTGGAGTCCTCAAGCGAACAGTCCTCGGCCCAGGAGGATGTCGCGTTGGCGGTAGAAGTGCAGAAAGAGTTGGTGGCTGAAGTTGAAGCCGAGGGCTTCGAGCAGGAGGCGGAGGACGAGGAGCTTGCCCTCGTCGTGCAAGTTGCGAGGAGGAAGAAGAAAAAGAGAGGATGAAGGTGACCGTGGCCGTCCTTCCCCCCCGGGGTGCTGGTGAGGCAGGGAGCTCTCGGCCCCTCGACCCGACGCCGATAAGAGTGGCCCCCGGGAACCAATCGGAGAAGAAGAAAACTGCCCAGGAAGAAAAGTGTCGCTGCCGATCAGGGGAAACCCATAGATGTGCCCGAGGGGTACTCCTGGCTAAACACTGCTGCCCTGGAGATAGGGTCGAAGGCTGATAGGGAAGACATGTACGTGACCCAGCTGCAAGTGGGGCCATCGGCTGTGGTGGTGGCGCCGGGCCCAGATGACGTTCTTTCCCGGGCCCCCGAGGGGTGCATTGCTGTGCACATCCTATCGGTGTCAATGGGGCTCTGGTTCCCTCTGCACCCATTCCTTCGGGAATATCTCCGGTATGTGGGCTTGGTCCCCTGCCAGTTGACGCCCAACAACCACTCCTACGTGGCGGGCTTTCTGAACCTCTGCCGGGCCCGAGGGGTGACCCCCAGCCTGGACCTGTTTTTCCAGAGCTTCAACCTCTGCCGAGGGGGTCACGCGAACGCCGAGGGGTTCGCCAATCTGCAACAGGTGGCTCGGTGGAAGCTATTCACAGAAGCGCCCTCGTCCAACAAAGGCTGGAAGGAGCGGTGGTGCTATGTCAGGATTGCCGAGAGCCCCTTCCCGATGGTACTTAGGGATCGCTTCCGTCGGCATCCGAAGGTCGGGAGTGCTGCCTTGGAGAAAGATGGCTTGATAATAGCCAAGATTCCGGCGGGCCGTACGAAGCAAGTGTCCATCAAGGACTTCACTGCTGACAAGGAGCTTTTTGCCCTCGGCTTCCGCAGATATCGCTTCCTCGGCGAAACAAACGAGAAGTATCCTGTGCTGGCAGGAGGTAGTCTCCGAGGGCTTCCCCCTTTTTATGTACTTAGGATTTTTTTTATCCCTTTCTTTTTCCTGTCCTCTTTCCCTTCCGTCTAACCCATTTGTTTTTGTGGCAGGTGTCAATATGGATCTCAATGCCTTCGCCAACCTCAAAAAGCAGAAGGTGAAGGTCCCGGGCCAGAAGGAGCCCGTCAAGCAGAAGCCCCTCGGGGATATGAAGAAGGGCGGTGAGCCCTCGGGGGAGGCCGCAAAGCGGAAGGCCGCCGGCAAGGCCCCAATCCCCGAGGGGAAGAAGCAGAAAAAGGGGGACGCCGGGAAGAAGGCTCCCCTGGTGGTGGTGGTGGACGAGCATTCCGCCTCCGAGCCCAGTGCTCCGACTGCTCCTTGCCCGCCCTCGGGTAAAGGTGGCGAGGCAAGCTTGCCTCGGGAGGACATACAGTTCTCCCTGCCGAAGGGGTCTGCCATTACGTATGACACAGTGGACCCCCGGGAATTTCTGGGCGGGGCTACACCCGCTCTGGACAGGCGGGCCCTCGAGAAGCTGGATGATGAAGCCCTCGAGTCCAAAATCCTCCGGTCCTCTCTTACCGTAAGTTCTCCTCCTTCCTTTCTTCTTCTTTCTTTTTCCTTAGCATAGTGGCCCATGACTTTATCTGTTGTGTGATCATAATTTTAACCCCTTGCTTTGTTGTTTGTTTAAACAGGCTTGCATAGCCCTCGGCGAACACGCCAGGAGATTCGACGAGTGGCGCCTCCAGAAGGCGCAACAGGAGGAGTCCCTCAAGAAGCTTGTTCACGATAATGCCGAGGCCGTGAGGTAGATGGCTCAACTGGAGAGGGACCTCCAGCAGGCGAGGGCGGAAGCAGAGAGCGGCCAAGGAGAGGGTGGAGATGGAGAAGGCGGCTGTCGAGGCTGCGAAGAAGGCCCTTGAAGACGCCGAGGCCGCAAAAGCAGAGGCCGCCGCCGCTGCAGTCGCTGCCTTCATGACCGAGGGCTGGAAGGCCGAAGGCCATAAAGACTGGGTGGCCTCGGTCATGGAGAGTTCTGCCGACGGGTGGGTGAAGGGCCCCGAGGCTATGTGGCTAGCCCGAAAGGGTGAAGATTACTATGTCGAGGGGAGTTCTTCACCCAGGCCCTAATCTACAGGAGGCTCGCCCGACACCTGAAAATAGAGCCAACGGCCTTCGACCCGGCGGCATACGCCCCCCCTCCAGCCTGATATCAGAGTCCCCCTTCCCGAGGGCGTCGAGAGGCCGGAACTGGAAGATTCAGAACTCCTGAAAGAGGCCGAGGGCGATTAGGCAGAGGCTGATACGGAGGTCATCTCGAAGCCCGCGGAAGAGGCTGCCCCCGGTGTCGACAATATGTGATATGTACTTGTAGTGTTTTGAATGTCTTTCCTGTATGTAATGAACGTCTGTATACTGTCGGCCTCGGCCATTCTGTAATTTACACATTCGAATTTCTTTCCTTTGATGAATGAATGATTGCCTTCGGGCTTTGTGTATATAACATGCTTCCCTTTAATTCGTTTCTTCTCGAATGTATGCCGTCGTTTTCTTTTGAATGTATGCCTTCGCCCTTCTTTGAATGTATGTTTAGGACTTAGACTATATTCTTCCAAGTGTAGTGCTTCTCGTAGCCCTCGGCTACTAGTAATCTTTAGTCAATTGAACCTTTCACTGAGGGCACGATGCTCAGGACTTAGAAAATATTTCTAAGTGTTTGTTCGTCTGTTGGCCCAAGTCTTCAACCGCATGTCCCCTCGGGCAGCATGGAGATTTGAGTGTAGGACTTAGAAATTTTTTTCTAAGTGTAGCACACCATAGGGCCTTCGAGTGTTTGTAGCTCAATTGCTGTGTGATGATTAGGTTGAGAACCCAATCCTTAGGACTTAGACAAATTTCTAAGTGTAGTTTCCCATTGGAAGCCCTCGACTGGTAGCTTCCTTTCTGATGTGTGAATATTTGACCGAGGGCCAAATATGTAGGACTTAGAAAATTTTCTAAGTGCTGTTGCATCACGTAGCCTTCGGCTATCATGGTCCCTCAGTTGAAATATTGATCAGGCCGGGGGCTCAATCTTCAGGACTTAGAAAATTTTCTAAGTGTTGCTTCCTTGTGTAGCCTTCGGTTAGTAGTGTTTTCCAATCAAGATTTCCCGAGGGCGACATTATTTTGGAGTAAGCCCCCTTGGTTGGCCTTTGATGATTTGTAACAGATGCCTTCGGTTGTTGGGTGATATGTGAGCCTCCGGCTGTAGTCATTTCCCAAAAGTGTGGACTTAGGAAAATTTGTAGGACACTGATGTTGTAGTGAATGCTGGTGGGATATAGGTGCCCTCGGCATTCACTTGAAGGGTTCTTGAGCTGCCTTAGTCAGTTGCATCCCCTTTTACATGATAGGACACCTCGGTAGCAATGGATGACCGATGGTAGGTGTCCTCGGCACTTATTAGAAGTGAACTTATCCCTTTGTATTGTTGAGTAGTAACCTTCGGGAAATAGGAGCCTTCAGTTACCGGAGGTGTTCCCGTAGGGAGCCCTCGGTATGCTGTGATTTGTTGGAGTGTTGTACTCATTGATTTCTCGATGAGTCTACTCCCCTTCACCCCCTCTGTTTTTTTTGGTTGGTGGTGAAGGGAAGGCATCAAGAAACTTGGTTTCTTGGTAAGGCTGGGCCTATCAGGAGACCATCAGAATACACCAATGGCTCTCCTCCCTCGGGTTAACCTTCCGAGTTCCGAGGGGATCGAGGGTCGTTTCCTGGGCACAAGATATGGTGGTCTGTAACCTGCCTCCCCTTGGGGGATGGCGCGGAAAGCGCCTCATTTTCGAAAGTCGTCCCCTCGGCGCTAGACATAGTCCGTGGCCTGCCACACCCTTGGGGTGGTAGCGCGGGGAGCGTTTCGGTTTGGAAGTCGAATCTTGGGCATTTCTCGTGCCTGTCATACCCTTGGGGTGATGACGCGGAAAGCGTTCCGTTTTTGAAAGTCGAATCCTGGGCATTTCTCATACCTGTCATACCCTGGGGGTAGTGACGCGGAAAGCGTTTCAAGGAAGGGTTTTCATTTTCACATTAGTTGCAAATGGTCGGGGGCACTATGTGCCGCCGGCACCGATGGTGGCGCCTTCGGTATATGCGTCCTCGTGGGGTACGGCTTTAGAAACAACACTTGGTGTTAGTTTCGATATGTAGCCCCCCAGTACTTGGTACCGAGGGGTCTTCTGTAGGAACACTTAGTGTTCTTCTTCTATTTGATGTTGATGGTGGAGATGTGTACCCCCGGTACTTGGTACCGAGGGGTCTTCTGTAGGAACACTTGGTGTTCTTCTTTTTTATGTTGATGGTAGAGATGTGTACCCCCGGCACTGGGTGCCGAATGGTCTTGAAATGAAACACTTGGTGTTTCGTGTTGTCGGTGATGGGAGTCCCCATCTTCGGTACTTGGTACCGAGGGGTCTTGTTCGAAACACTTGGTGTTTTCACTGTTGTTGAAGGTGTTGGTGGTGTCCGCCCTCGGCACTTGGTGCCGGAGGGGGTTCTTCTCGTGGTGAGGCCTGGGGACTGTAGTTGGTATGAGGGCTTGGCCGCTCATAAGTGTTTTGCGGTTGTTCTTGGTGTCTTGAATGTGTCTTCATTCTTCAAAATTGGAGGCCTTGGGCCATAGGATAGTACATTCACTAGTTATGAGGGCTTGGCCGCTCTTACATTATTGATAAAATTTAACTAAGTGGTGTACATTCCAGTGCCTAGGGACCTCTTTCCCGTTGGGGCGTTTGAGCTTGTAAGTCCCAGGTTTGATGATGGCTGCTATGATGTAGGGAGCTTCGAACTTTGGTGCCATTTTGCCTCCCTCGGTCGGTTGGCTGGCTTCCCTCCTCCGGAGGACGTAGTCCCCCACTTGGAATTCTCGGGTGCGAACCTTGGCGTCGATGTAGCCTTTGACTTGCCTTCGGTAATTTTCTGCCTGGATGAAGGCTTGCTCCCGGCGTTCTGAAAGGAGGTGGAGGTCGAGGTCCATATTGTTGTCGTTGACCTCGGGGTCATATTGGATCACCCTCCGGGTGGGAAGGGTGACTTCCGTAGGAGCTTTGGCTTCAAACCCGTAGCAGAGGGAGAAGGGTGTTTCACCTGTTGCTCGCCGAGGGGTGGTGCGGTAGGCCCAAAGGATGTTGTGGAGTTCTTCTACCCAGCCACCGCCCTCGGCCTCCAGCTTCTTTTTGAGGCCCTCGAGCAAGGTCCGGTTGGCGTTCTCTACTTGCCCGTTGCCTTGAGGGTAGGCAACGGAGGAGAAGGTGTGTTTGATGCCCCATGCCTCCAGAAGGGCACAGAAGGGGTTGCCTCAAATTGTGTTCCGTTGTCGGAGATGATCTGCTGGGGGACGCCAAACCTCGTAAGGATGTTCTTGAGGACGAAGTGACGACACTTCGCCTCTGTGATGCTGGCGAGGGGCTCAGCCTCCACCCACTTGGTAAAGTAGTCGATGGCCACAATGATGTACCTGTTCTTGGAGGTACCCCTCGGCAGAGGGCCCACAAGGTCTATCCCCCATCGAGAAAAGGGGACAGATGTGCTGATGGGGGCATAGTTGATCGCTGGCCTGCCGGGGGCTTTCTGGAAATGTTGGCATGCGGTGCACTTTCGGGCAAGGTCAGCACAATCTCTGGCCATGGTTGGCCAGAAGTAGCCCTGGAGAATGAGCCTTCGGGACATGGAGAAGGGTCCCTGGTGAGCTGAGCAAGTGCCACTGTGCACTTCCTCCATTGCGACCTCGGCTTCATCTTGATGAAGGCACCGAAGTAGCGTGCCGTTGTAGGACCGTTTGTAGAGCCTTCCGTCTTCGATGGTGTAGCTAGGAGCCCTCAGCTTTGCTAGTTTAGCGCGGGTCTCATTTTCAGGTAGTTGCCCTGTGGAGATGAAGGTGATGATATCTGAGATCCAGTCCTCTTGGCGTTGTTGTATGTTCATGACGGGGCTCGCATGGATACTCGAGAGACTGAGTTCCTCAATTTTAGCAATCTTAGAGATGTGCTCGGGGGAGTCGGCCGAGAGCTTAGATAGTATGTCGGCCTCGGAGTTCTGAGCCCTCGGTATTTGAGTGAGAGAGTGTGCCTCAAATACCTTAAGCAACTCCTTGGTCGCCTCCTTGTACTGTTTCATTCTTCCCTCCTAGGCCTCATACTCCTCGGAGATTTGGCCAACGACCAACTTGGAGTCGCATTTGATATGGATCTGCCGAGCCTTCATGCTGGCAGCCAGCCGAAGGCCACATAGGAGGGCCTCATACTCGGCCTCGTTGTTGGAGACTTTGAAGGAGAAGCGGATTGCATAGTAGGCTTTGAAGCCCTCGGGAGTAATGAGGACTACCCCTCCCCCGCATGCTTTGGTTGCGGAGGAGCCGTCGGTGTAGAGGGTCCACCAGTCGTCCGAGGTAGCCGAGGGCTCCCCGTCCGTGGCTGCCCTTGCGGTACACTCCGTCACAAAGTCCGCCAGGGCTTGGCCCTTGATGGCAGGTCTCGGACGGATGTCAATGTTGTACTGGCTGAAGAAGATAGCCCATTTCACCATGCGGGAGGAGCTGGTGGGGCTCCTCATGAGGGCGCCGAGGGGTTGATGAGTGAGGACCTGAACCGGGTGAGCCTGAAAGTAGTGACCCAACTTCTTGACGGTCCAAACGATAGCTAACACCGTTTTTTCCACAGGAGAGTACCTGAGCTCGGCCTCCCTTAGGGTCTTGCTTACATAGAAGATGACATGTTGGATGCCGTCTTCCTCCCGGATGACCACAGAGCTGATGGCCGCCGGGCTGACCCCAAGGTAGAGGTAGAGGGTCTCCCCTACCTTTGGTTTGGAGAGCACAGGGGGTGAAGATAGATATCGTTTGAGCTCGTCGAAAGCCTCCTGGCATTCTGGAGTCCATTGAAAGCCAGCCGTCTTCCTCATGATCTGGAAGAAGGGTAAAGACTTCTCCGCTGATTTAGATAGAAAGCGGTTGAGGGCTGCCAGGCGGCCCGTCAACCGTTGAACTTCCTTCACATTGCGTGGGGGCTCCATGTTGATGATGGCCTGGATCTTCTCGGGATTGGCCTCAATACCCCTTCGGCTCACCATGTAGCCCAAGAATTTGCCCCCTTGGACGCCGAAGGTGCACTTCTTCGGGTTTAGCCGAAGGTTGAACTTTTGCATGATGGCGAAGATTTCCCGGAGGTCGTCGGCATGGCTGGAAGATTGTTTGCTTTTGACGATCATGTCGTCAACATAGGCCTCCATGGTGCGCCCTAGGACGGCCTGAAAGACTCGGGCCACCATCCGGGTGTAAGTGGCCCCTGAGTTCTTTAGGCCGAAGGCCATCACTAGGTAGCAGAAGATGCCCTCGGGAGTCATGAAGGCTGTTTTTTCGGCGTCTTCCTCGTGCATGTATATTTGATGGTATCCGCGGAATGCGTCAAGGAATGACATGATCTCACACCCCGCGGTTTCATACACCAGCTGATCAATATTGGGCAGAGGAAAGGGGTC